ATATAATGACAGTACCTTAACTCTGCCGTCAAGTGCAGGTAGTTCAATATATAATGACAGTACCTTAACTCTGCCGTCAAGTGCAGGTAGTTCAATATATAATGACAGTACCTTAATTCTGCTTCTTTATTTTCTCTTGCAACTCTCTTAATCTCATGGTCTGCAAACAGTTTAACAGTCTCTGCATGGTGAAACTTTTTGAACTGAAAAAAAGAAAGAATTCTGTTTATTATTGACTATTTTTTGCTAAACAATATTGGTCATTTATTTTGATGTACTTTTATAGGATCATCTTCTTCGATTGTTTCATCTCCTTTTGCTTTGGCTTGCTTTCTCTTTTCTTTTAACTGAAATAACAATAAATGGTCACTTTTATAATAGAATGAAACCAATTAGTACAACAATGACAAAACAACATTCTATGCCAAAACCATGAGTTAGAAGGCCAAAAAATATAAATAAATGTTTTGGTGTCAAAACCCTAAAATACTGTATTGCCAAAAAAATCACAAGTGTTGTGACATCAACTAATGCTATCGCAAACTTGTGACAGACATATCAACCTGTTGAGTTCAGGGGGTGGCAGACCTTGATATCTTTCAATTCTTTCTATTATTTTGTGTCTCCTTTGTGATCATTTTTGTAGAGTGCATCCCCCCCTCCCATTAAATGTTAATTGATAGGCCTTGGAAGGTTGTAATTTTTGTGATAATTATTATAATTATACCTTTTCTTTGACTAATGCATTTGCTTCATCCAATATTTCTTTTACTCTTTTTAATTTTTCTGGATCTTGAACAGTTTTGTAGGCATTACTAACAGCTGAATGACAAAATGAGATTCGTGACTTTCAGAAATGGCAATAATATCAACCACAGCCTACTGTAAAGTGAGTAAATGAAAKATAGAAATTGCAATAAAAAAAACTGAAAATGAAATAAAAGAGTAATTCAAAACCAATCAGATTTGAAGACATTTACCATCAAAAGCTTTCTGTGCTCTGTCTATATCATGTCTGTTCTTGTCAGGATGGACTAAAAAAGACAGCTAAAACAGCAACGGATGAGAATTAAGAGAATGACAATTAAGAGAATGGAGCAATAGTCAAATAACCTGGCAAAATCATATGTCAAACAATAACAGAAAAACAAGAAAATGAAAGTAGAAAAAGTGAAATCTTTTAGGTTGCGAAAACTGTTATTATTCATAGGATTTTGTCTTCAATTTTAACCAATGTAAAATTTCAATTGTTGATTTTACAATGACTCGGTAAAGTGCTTCCTGTGGTTACTTTAGAATTAATTAACAATAATGGTTATTAATTAAGGGATAATAAATGACTGATGGACTAACTAATTTGATTAATTTTTGCTTATACATATAACTAAGATTGATGTGTTCAATCCAAAGAGTGTGTTTACAAGTAAAATGCTGTGACAATCCCCCCTGTTTACCTTTCTGTATTGTTTTTTAAGGTCTTCTTCAGATGAATCAGGAAGTAGTTGAAGAACCTTGAAACATAACAAAACAATGTACAGCTTTTTGTGTGAACAATGCATTATTGTTAAAATTCCAGGAGTTTCCAAGTAAATTTTAGTCACAWAATTCCATTTTTAATGACTGGATCCTGTTGKRCGTTTCCAGAYGTTTCAGRCCTAAAATKTTTATAACACCATTTGGCAACATATTAAATCGAAAAATTTTAAAACTGTAGATCAATTKTAAGGAGTGTTCCAGAAATTTATGTTTTAAATTCCAGATCTCTTAATAAGGCTTTCATGGAGTAGCACTACACTGTACTATAGATAAGAAATTTTTGCAGGAGCTTCATTCACAATTATAAGATGGTTTCTTAGGATACTAGAAAGTGTCAGTATAGAAACCATTTTCATTTGGTATCAAAGCATACCATTGATATATTAAGAAAAAAAACTTTATGTACTGAATGTGAAAACAAATGGTTTGTTACTCACCTCATAGGGATTAAGATTAAGATATTTAGTACCAGGTTTTGTTAGTCTTTCTATYTGTTTTGGTCCTGTCCATACAGAGTCATCCTTTTCTATTTGTTTCACCTTAAAAACAAATTCATGATGATTTTATTAATGTAACGTCTTTAAATATTACCAGTTTTTCAACAAAATAAGGAAATAAGTAACATTGACAAATTTCAAAATTCTGATCAACCAGCATTTTGACTTATTATGCTACAACAGACTAGTTTAAACACTGGTTTACAAGAGCAACCCAAGCAAGGCAAATAATGCAAAGAAATGACAGAATTTTTTTCTTTCTTCTATTTTCAACACATGTACCGCTGCATTTACAACTCTGTTGCTGGAGTGAAGCAATATTTATAAATGAATATATTATATATGTGTACTAACCAACACATAAATGAAGAGTTCTGACCAAACAATAATATTGTTAGCATCATTTATTGACTGAGCACTCACAAGAATACAACAATCACTAATACTAGTAATGAACATAGCAACAATAACAACAGGCCTATGAAGCTTTTACATCATGTACTGTATATGAAATGCATGGTAGGATATGTTTGCAACAAAACATTTCTTTTGTTTTTCTTATTAATTTCTTTTGTTTTCTATAGAAACTGATCCCACAATGCACAATGCAAAGTCAAGTAGTGGTGTAAAAGTTTTGTTAAGGGTTTTAACATGTCATAAAGACACTTGCTTCAAGGGCTTTTCAAGGAAAAATCAAGTGCAAGACAAACGCCAATTTTCAAGGACTTTTCAAGAATGTATAAACCATGTATTAGTATAGGAAACTGCATGATCTTGAGTACAATTTGGAATTAATAGTCACAAGTAATGTTTTAAAAGTTCTCTATAAATGCAAGTCGCCAGATTGTACGAGACATTGTGGGATTTTTTGGTTATAGTACATTCAGTGAAAATTCAGTGAAAATTTTATAAGGAGTACAATTAACGCTATAACTGTACTCTCTCAACCAATGAAAAAGCATTATTTTGTTGAATGTACTAAGCCTCATAATGCAGAATGCTCACTGATGCATGCTGGGTAGATCACAAAATCATTGTACTTGTCTAATGTGTAGTCTTTCCTGATGTGGTTTTGCAAAGTCTATAACTTTTTGTAAGTCAAGTATGAAATATTTCTTGTAAAAGTTTTCTACAGAAATTCATAAGATATTTTCCAGAAATTTTTCAGTAGCTTTGGTCTGAATTTGTAATAGATGCCAATCAAGCCATTATTAATCATGTTTAATCAATGACAATTGTGAAGTCAATACCAGTATACCTCATGCCTGGTTTGTAATGTGATTGAACACAGAATCAGTAGGGATTTCTGGCAAGGCTATSAATGCATCATAAAATGCTTGGTAATGCAATGCAAATGCAAAACTTGATTGACATCTATCAATCACRTGCATCTGCTGTATGTCGTCTCAATCTTTGGCATTAAATTAAAAAGTTGATTTCATGTTAGGTAGGAATATATTCTATACAAAAGMTTTTAAGCTTTAACTGTTAAACCAGTTCTGCTTGGATGTGGGATAATTTATAACATTGATTTGATGTGGAAGTGCGCTTTCAGTTCGAGGTCGATTTCGGCAGAGTACCAAAATCGGAAACTTGACACTGGGTTTTGTGCTATTGTTTACATTAAATCATTAAGCTTAACTTGAACAATCCATATGACAGCAAACACTGCGACTTTTCTTTCAAAACCGGAAAAAACTTGATCAAACAATTTTGAATCGACAAATTGCCTACCAAACAAGACAACCAATACTTGTTCTAAAAGTGAAACATTGACCTGCGATGATATAAAGAGAAATAAAAGAATTCTACTTACTTCRGTCATAAACGATGAAAAAGCTTTATCACCTTCGGCCGCCATTTTGTTTTAGAATCATAATCCGCTGGTCAGAAAATGCGGCAAATACTTTTACCCATAATTCCTTAGATATAAAAAAAATGTATAGCTTTTCTTATAATTAACTTAGTTCTCCAGCTGAGATTTGAAAGGGATACCTTGATTCATCCTAATATAATGTTTTCGTCGATGCTGTATTTTTAAGTAATTTGAAATTCATATGACAATCAAATGAAAGGGTCGTTTCAGTTTCCCTCTTTTTATGGTAATGAGTAGGATTAGTGTTCGTACCCAGTTTCCTTGGCAATAGTGCACATGTCGAAGACCCCAGCGTAGGCTGGTACGTACGAGCTGTCCACTGTTTTTTTGGTGTTTTATTTTGTAACTAACCCTAATTGCAACCATGTCTTACCCTGCATCAACTGAATACCTTAACGAATTGCTCAACGATAAAACTACAGTGGCCAAAATGCCAAAGATCTTTCTACATGCAGAACGTTTGCTAGACCAAGGTATGGCTACTACGAGAAAAGTAGTATAACTATAACTTCTTATTATAATTATAATAATAACCCTTCGTTTACGATAAATAATCGCCATTTCAACATCAATAATCTGCACCAGCGTCTAATGTAACAACTTAGGGTAATTTCTAACGTATTTCGGGGTTAAGTAATACGGCGATTGGCTCAACTTCACCAAGATGGAATCCGTCCCGAACAAAATGGTGCCTGATGAATTTTGTTTGCTCGAACGACGCTTGTGTTTGTAAAAGCCTTGTTTGAAGGCGAGAGCTTCGCTGATGAAAGCCAGTCATATCCAGGTTGGTTCTAAGTAACTTTTGAATTATTTTAGTGTTTTTTTTCCTTAGTGCAGCGTGGCAATCAGTAAAATCTGAGTTGGAATACGCTGCGAGGTTTTCAATCCATAGACTCTGTTTCTGAAGCAGAAGAACTTGGTTTTTGATATTTGTGTTTTAAACCAAAACAACGAAACCAGCCAGCGAAAAGTCGTATTTTGTTTATGTTTGAATAGTTTTTGTCCTTCTAGCAATTCTCCGATCACAGTTGGAGACGAATGAATATTTCATATACGTTGTTCCCGTATTATTCAATGATTTAGAAAAAAATCACTTTAAAACCGAAATATCGGTTTAAATAACACCTTTTCTGGTCCCAATATGTGYTTGTTGATGTTTTTGGGTTTGAAATATTGACAAAAGAATGGGTTCTTTTGATTGAAATAAGTTGAGCAATACATTATCAGTTGCGGCGAGAACAGGCCGGATGCCTCTCTTGATCTGCATCAACAACCAACCATTTCCATTAGTTGGCAAAGCCGTGGTTTGCGCGATTCTCGATTCATTGACACAAATCGCTGTTGCGGGTTTTCTGTTTTGAATTCTCGCTAGCCTAAACGATTTGGTTCGCGTGGAAACATAGTCTTTCATCCATGAAATATACAAAGTAGCCGTTCCGCTTCACTGTAGCAAAACGCACTGATGAATATTGCCATCTAAATTCTCTGCGAATGCTGTAAAATGACCCTCGTTTTTTTCATCTCCCAGATCTTCCAGATGTTTTTACCATATAGTAATTAGTCCAAGTACAATTACGAGTCGTATTGAGAGGGATCATAAGGTGGTTTGGCAGAAGTTCTCTGATCTATCAAAGTTTTTCGTATATTCATGGCCTCATAAGGATTTTCCATTGCGGAATGTTTATTGAATTTTCTGCGCCTTTTCTGCATGTTGTGATTTGCGATAAATGTTTTTGAGGGCTTTTCAATGCTGTATCGTGGTTAGATCTAGGAGAGTCTAAAACGCTAGTTAATTTGAAATATGTCTAGAATGCTTATTTTGTCATGAGTAAAAGCTCTCCTCTATGTGCCTTATCAAGTCGTGTTGATGAACACGAGGTGATTGTGGCACAATCCGCGTTGGAAGCCTCTGTTCAAGCCTCTGTTCAAACATTTTAATAACACGAAGTGTTCTGGTCTTTGAAATTATTACAAAACAAGAAGGCGAACCCTTGTCGTTACATTGTAACGTTACCAATATTTTCCTAAAATTTCATCTTAAACATCGCGTCCGAGTTGGATTTAACGCGTTTCTGCGTGTTGATTCAAGATCAGMATGCACTTTGATCTCTCTGTAAAATAATATTTTGGAATTCGTTGATCTCTAAAAGCAAGAAAGTTGTTTTGCCATGATTTGAAAGCGCCACCTGCATGACAACTGAAAAACTCTCCCTCAGAAGTCAYATTTTGTCACGGTGGTTACATTGATGTCGTGTTATCTTGCGGGTTTATAAAATCTTAATTTTGCCGTTTTATAAAAGAAATATGACGCTACTTGCACACAGCTTGACAAATAGTTTCTCTTTCTTGCTGCGAAAATATCCCAAGCTTCCATGGACATGATGAAAAAATGCTATATTTTAATTGAAAAATAGAGCGACTGTAAAATGAACATGACATTTTGAATTTGTCTTAAGCAATAATGTGGTTTTATATTCTCTTATTTCTGCCCTTTTTCTTCGCTACCAAGCTAATACAGATGTTTATTTATTATTTTTCCGAAATTTTAAAAATCCATTTCGGCTAAAAGTAATTTATTGGAAGAAGTATAAATTTTAACACCACTGCCTTTATCTAAAGTGCTCAAGGATTTTTATGTGTCAAACCACAGGAGTAAGTGCTGGGAAGAGTGTTACAAAGTGAAAATTTTCAGTTTTCATAACATACAATTTCGGTTATTTTACAGTAAATTGGGGAACCTGCTTGGGTCKAAAAATTTCTAATGAGTTTTACAATTGTACAAATATGATGGTTGTTTTAGGTGGGATTATTTGGTATGATTCATAAAATATTATGTTGCCTCCTCTTTATCAAGATTGCTTTGTATTCATAATATTGTAAAACCACAGTTCAAACTTTGATTGATTATATTTTTGTAGTATTTTGGCTATTTTTTTTAACCTGCTTCATGGAAAACAACATCCACTATTTCATTTCTTAGCTTATTATTGATGTAGAATTTAACATAAAATTTATTAATTTGTTATTTTGTATCCTGCTTGACTTCTAAACATGTTGGTTTATCTGTATTTTTCATTGTTTTTCTTTAATTTTACGTGAAAATGTTAGTTATTCTTCATTACAAACATGATGATTTTACTTGAGTCAAATTAATGGAGGAGTATTTTTATTTATTTTTTGTATAAAAGCCTTTTTGTCTAAATGTCAATTTTAATAAGTAAAAGATATGATTACTGTGAGGATGACAGTCTAGAAAATATCAACCTTTAATTGTCATTCATCATAACATTTGAGAGTTTTCAAGCATTTAAAACCTTTTTACACTTTATTCATTATTATGATAGAAGAGCAGGTCTTATTTCTTAAAACATTGTTTGTTATAACTTATATTCATCATTCTGAGGATCTTTTTACTGTTTTTATCCTATGGCTGTCTTTTCCTTCTGAGGATAAAAAAGAAGATCTTGCTATGAAGGGGTGATTTGTGATTGTAAACACTGCTACCGAATTGAATATTTTAAGCACACACAATGCCCCTAGCAGCTGTYGAATGAGGCCTTGCAGTAGGGTAGGGTTAGGGCAAAGGTAGGAGGTTACAATTCACATGACTTGAAAAACAAGACCTTTGATTAAGGATGAGAATCTTATGAGAGATTCAAGATCAGACAGGGATGATAGATAGGGCAGACCAGTTTCTACATGTTATCTGTTGTTTTTCCATTCCGTATACTATTATTTCTCACTCTATTTCCATTCTTATGTTAGACATGGAAAGCATTAAACCTTTGAGAGCCCTTACAGACATTTAATTCTGATATTAGCAAATCATTTTAGAGTCTTATGATTTATATTTTAAACCCAGTCAAAGTTATGTTGACATTTTTAAAAATATTATCAAGCAAACTGTCCAATTAAAAATTYGAACAAATTGCGTGAATTCCAAGCCATCTGGTGCAATCTCAGCAAGGGATCTTCTCTTTTATAAGTGTATTTTCCTGTCTTGTATATTTTTTAACTTTGCTCAATTAMTGCAAGCTTCCCACGTTTAAAATAGTGCTTCAATTAATTGAATGACTGACTAGTTCTCCTACCAAGCTCAAATGTGAAAGCATCTTTGTTGTTTCTGAAGAAAAACACAAATCAAATGTAGAAATTTGAATAAGAATCAAAGCAAATATCAAGGCATTGTTTGCCTTTTAGCTGTCAAACAATAGCTTTAACATATCACTTTTTACATCAATTTCTTATTTTCAATCAATATATTCTTGTTAAAAAAGCACAATTAGTAACTGTATACAGCTTTCTGAGTATGGAGTATGAAAGTACATGTATGTTGTTTTGCTTCAAAATATTTTTGGTTTTTGTATTTGATGTTCTTTATTTAAAACAACATCACTTAGAGCCAAATCCTCTTTTGGAGTTAACATTATTTAACAGTTTGTAAATTCTATAATTTAAAGTCTACATCCCTAGGATATGATATAGCAGCAGGGATTATTTTTCTTAACTATATAATAATTTTATAATATGTAATATCTTTAGTTTTTTGATATTTTTACATTAAGTCCTACATAGTCTCATTTTTGATTCTGATTTGAATATTCTCTTTTGAGATTTATATTCCTACAAAATTTACAGTAAGATTTAGGACTGACAACAATTTCTTGATTTCTTGACAAGAAAACAAGTGGCAAGCCTTCTATTGRGAARYTGTCAATATTGTCTTTTTTGATTTGAATACAAAGATGACATTATTGTTGGTGGCMTTGTGTAAAAGTGCTATAATTCATCTCAYARCTTTGTTCGTAGTCTTGTTGTTTTATWCTCTCACTATTTTGTWTTTGGMTYTTTGAGATGGTYGGTTCACCTACATGATGGCGACCAACATTTATATTAAAAGACCCTTACAAATAATCAAGAAAATAGGTAGAAGTACTCCTTATTTTGACATATCCAAAAATGAGTGGATAAACTCGCATTCCTAAAGTGATAATATCAGATCAGAACAATGTTATTTCCTTGAAGGAAGAACAAGGGGGTTTAATTTGATTTAAATGTAGAAATAAGAGCTGATTTTGTTTCTATTGCAACAGATCTGTTTCCAAAATAGCTCCCATTCATAAGCATCGTTGTGAAATACTTGCAACTCACTTGCAAGCTCTGCAATATSGAATGAATTCCATTTAAAAATCATTAGGATGGAATTTTTTAAAGTATAAAAAAATCATGTATTAGGGTACAGCATAAAGTTTTCTTTTTAATTGGGCTTGATTAGTGAAAATATGTATCTTGCCTGTGAACCGAAGCCAATACTCCAATTTCTATCTCTGTGTTTGCTCTGTGTTAGCCTCAAAACCAAGCAACATATTCTTTTGTTTCATTGATAGCCCGAGAAAAYGCATGGAATTTGAAAAGAAAGACAATAGAATTGATTTGAAATCTCACACTTTTATTCTAACAATTACGAATATTTTGCGCATAAAAGAGGCTAACACAGAGCATTGGAGAATTCGAAACTGGATTATTTGGCCAAGGGTCATCTACATTGGCCCAGCACTTGGCAAAGTCCATTGGATTATTAGCTGTATTATTAGTATGATGAAGTCCCCTTGACTAGATTCCAGGTCACCCAGTTATTTGCTGTCATAGGAAGTGTGAACTTTGATTTTCAAAGTCTGTTTTTTGTTTGTTTTCTAGAAATCAGCAAAACAAGAAATGAATTATTCCATGGTATGGCTAATGGCGTTGAGACAAGCTCAGCAGACATACAGTTACCTGCCCCTGCTGGTCCAAGGGTCAAACTCACAGAGAAGGTCTTTGCACCTGTTAAAGAGTTTCCAAAGGTTTGTTGTAATCTAGAATGTTTACTATTTTCATGATTTATGATAGGATTATTGATGATTGATGTGTTGGTTTTTTGGTTGATTGACAGATTGTGTTGGTTGATTGACAGATTGTGTTGGTTGATTGACAGATTGTGTTGGTTGATTGACAGATTGTGTTGGTTGATTCATTGGTGTGTTGGTTGATTGATGTGTTGGTTGATTGTTTGATGTGTTGGTTGATTGTTTGATGTGTTGGTTGATTGTTTGATGTGTTGGTTGATTGATGTGTTGGTTGATTGTTTGATGTATTGATTGATTGATGTGTTGGTTGATTGTTTGATGTGTGTTTTGATTGGTGTGTTGGTTGGTTGATTGATGTATTCGTTAATTGATTGTTGTATTGGTTGATTGATTGATGTGTTGGTTGGTTGATTGATGTGTTGTTTTTATGTATTGGTTGGTTGTTTGATCATATGAGTTATTAATGTTGGTGTGTTATAGTTCAATTTTGTAGGCCGTGTGATAGGACCAAGAGGGATGACGTTAAGAGAGATAGAAAGTCAAACAGGCTGCAAGTTGTTAGTCAGAGGCAAAGGCTCCATGAAAGATAAAAAAGTGGTATGAATATCTCTTTCTGTTTTACACTATTAAATTATTTAAAAGGGATACCGTACTATTATTTGTGCCATGAATAAGGCCTAAGAGTTCATAAGGTAAAGAGGTCATTGTATTGTTGGGGATAAGTTTGAGAGGTCTAATTATATAAAACTGTAAAATACTAAAGTGAAACAGTCAAAACAGTCTTGGAACGTTCATGATGCACACCAAACTTGTGTAATTCAAACCAAAATTGACTTTTATTCTGTTTATTTTATCATCTCAATTGCTTTCAGTGTGTCTCAACATACTAATGGTACCTTCATGTGTACTGATTGGTTGTGTTGGTGGCATGATATTTGATATAGTACATTTAGAACAAAACAAGTTAGCAAACGTGACTTGTTTCATGATAATATTTTTGTAAAGTTTTCTACTGCTTTGCTTTATTTGGCTTCATGGACTTGTAAAGCTTTCAGTGTTAGGACTGACAGGCTATTGCCTAATAGCATTTTATCCTTAAGGTACAATGCATATTATTGTTAATGTCATCATTTCTAACAATCAAATAAACATTTCCTTTTTTATTTCCTGCCCTTAAGGAACAATATCTTAAAAAATGAAGATCCTAAAATTGTCTTGGATAATGTGTCAGGTTTTAATATCAAAAGAAGGCTAACAACTTTGATATTTCAGGCCTATTTGTTAAAAAGTTCTTGGCAAAGACATGAAAATAACTATTAATGTGAATTGAGAATTTTTTGACTTTATTTGGACAAAATATACTAGCATAAATTGTTTAAAAATAAGAACAGTCACTTGTATACGTTGTAAGTGGTTTGTTTTCTACTGAGATTCATTTGTTATGTTTTTCTTATGACATTTCTTTGCCCCAGGCTGTGTAAATTGTTAGTATAAAAAGTCCATTAGGTTGTGATAGGGCCCTTATTCTTAGAGTATTCTTACTACGGAATAAGTGAGACAGCACTTACAAGCTCTTAACTTTTAGATCTGTCAGTTTCATTTGATGTTATTATTATTTGCAGTTATTCTTGTTATCATTATTCTAATGGTTATCAATATTATTTTTATGAATTAATGCTATAACTATGATACTTTCTATATAATAAGATAATAATTTCTTTTTTATTTAATGAAAACTCTGGCCAGTATGAAAGTAGCCAGTGTTACATGTAACACAGGCTAGTATGAAAGATATTCATTCTATGATGAGGCAATACCATGAATCATCTGATAACTCAGCTTTCACTTGACCATAGCAGGTGTCTTTCACATAATAAAAGTATTTATATCAATTATTGTACAAAGCTATGGTTGATGATATCATCAAAGGACACCATCATTTAATAGCATTAGTAACTATAGAAGGAATTTATAACCAGACATTTGAACTGGTTAGTTCATCATAAAATAGTTGAAAAAGAATATCTTAGATTCTGTATTATGTTATAACATCACAGAATAGTGTCATGAAAGATGTAATTTGTTCATTTAGGTTGATATTTACTGATTGTTATCAGTGTATTGTAGCAGTTTCCATGCTGTCAACAGGCAGTTCCAGGTCCATTAATCTGCCAAAAAAACAACAATATTTCATGTTATAATAGTTCATACACAAACCAGGTCCCTTTAAGGTTAGGTTTAAATATTATGACCTAAGAGTTTGGTCATTTTCAAAAACAGAAGATTTTACACTGAAATCTTGAGCCCAATTTCCCTGAGTTCATTAATCAAGGCGTTTCGTGAGGCTTTCGTGAGTTAGCGCTTTGTGATCAAACAAAAGCATGATGTGGGTTGTTCATTAGGGGTTGTTCATTAGGGGTTGTTCATTAGGGGTTTGTTTGTCTAATTGTTTTTTACTCTAACCTAATTTGATATCAGGAAGAAGAAAAACGAGGTCAACCAAACTATGAACACCTAGACGAAGACTTACATGTGTTAATATCAGTAGAAGACACAGAAGACAGATGCATCGCTAGATTACAAAAAGCTGTAGATAAAGTACGAGAACTATTACGGCCAGTGGTAGGTATCAAGTAGTCTGCTTGTAGAATGATTTGAAGTAAATGCAGCCTGAACCAAAACTACCAAAACCAGCCAATCAGAAAAAAAATTAGACATACTTACTTCAAGTTGGCTTTCTTAAAAAACAAGAAATTTGGTTTAGAAAAAGTAGCCAGATGATGTGCTACTGCTGAATCATGAACTCTAAAAGATGCAATAGGGCAGCTTCCTTATCAAATTAGTCAAGAGGTCCTGGTTGTAGTGTCCTCAACTCAATCCATTTGAAACTCGGATATTGGTGCCACAATAATGAATCTTTATGAATGTCAGGCAGTAGGAATTACCATCAACAATGAAGCAAGCAGTCATTATGCAACATTCCAATTGCATAGGCATTGCAAAGTGTGCAAATTACATTTTTACAGCTATGGTAATGTTCTTGTCAATGATGATTATTTTTATCTGAAGGAGGAAGGAGAAGATGAAATCAAGAAGAAACAATTAAAAGATCTTGCATTATTAAATGGGACGTTTAAGGAGCCAGGTCTTGCAGGTAATCTAACAGTGATATCTCATATTCTATTTTCTATGAACATTGTTTGCATCGCTACACAGGAAGACCAGGCGAAATGTACAACGGGAAATTATTAGGATTATTATTAATTATTATTATTATTATTAGGATTTTTGGTCTTCTCTGAATATAATATCAAATAAGTGTACAAGCAAATTCAAACTTCATTGGTTTGGCATCAGTTCTGATATGCTTAGATTAAACGGAACAAATGTGTTAAAAAAATTCAACTCATACCTGGGACCCAAAAGCTTTTGATCCCATGATGGCTGTACTAACACTGATCTGCTGTTGCATTGGGTTCTCATGAGGATTGCTCCAAGTGTACCAGRAATGACTTCTTGTCACAATCCAATGACTTCATTAATGACAAACATTTTGAAATAAATAAATATATGTGTTGTACATCTCATTATCAGATTAAAAGAAAACCTGTATTAGAACAGGTTTGACTAGTATGATTTGTTGTTTAGGTACCAGTCCACCTGTCGTACCAGGAGGTTTATTAGGTATGCCAGTACATCCTGGTTTAGCTGGTTATCAGTTAACAAGGCATCCAGGTAAGATAGACCTCAAATCTTCCTGTCATATACCATAGCGTGATCTGTGTTGTTGATTGTGTTAACCAGGTGAAACTCTTTTGTCACAAATAAGGTATTGAGGAATATGAAATTCCTTTCTTCATAGTTTGGTAGAAAAGTTTGGATAACATATTGTTTGGCATTGAATTTTTCTGTCAGATTATTTGAAGACATGCTCCTTTTTACACAAAGCAATATATGCTTGACTAAGATGGCAATGTGTCTGGTTAACAGATTGACTGAAATAGTCATGTTTGTGACTAATTGCAAAAAATGTTCAAGAGAAATCAGCGATCCCCCATAAGTTACCTCGTTGTGTAAGCTATAATATTAACCTGGATCCATTTTCTTGCAGTGCCTGGTGCTTACCACACACAACTGACAGGCCTTGAATTCCCATATGCAGCAGCTCGTCCAGGAACAGTACTAGACTACCATGCATTAATTGAACCATCAATACTAGGTAAGGCAAGTATTATGACAGACATATTAAAATGTACAAAAGACATTAATGAACTAATAAATAAATATACATCTGACAGGTGGATGTGATGAATAAGCATATCTCACATAATAATACAGAACTGATTAAATTTCTATATCATCATCATCATAACTCTTTGTGCCAGTAGGCGCATAAGGCCTTCACCCCCTCTTTAAAGTGTGATCCTCTGGTCCTCCAGGTTGGGGGTTGAGCGTAGGGTTAACAGCCCTGCCTCGGAAAAATTCTTATGTTACTAAAACCTACACCCAAGCTTACCAATTTCTATATAGTTATTGCAAATTTGTTCAAAATCTTTTTCATGCTGACCTTCAATACATATTAGATGGCTATCTTAAATGTTTAAGCTAAGACTATTACACTTTATTTCATGGATTCCTGTCTTATAGACATTCTAAAATGGGGGATGCCCACGTTCTCTTCACAATCATGTTATTTACTTGCACAACTAAAATGAAACAGCATTGAAAACAAATCAACTTGTGGGCAATCGTCCCTTCCCATGTACATGCATATACTATACCATACTCTGTATATTTTTGTTACACTGCTGTTATGCATTGATTCTGTAACCGTGGTAACTGTCACTGACCCAGATAAATTCGGTTTTTTTTAACAGTACATTTTACAGCCAGTATATTGTAGCTAGACATACATTACAACAGCTCACTTATCCAATTCAGAAAGACTATAATCTTGTCAAGGTGTAATTTATTGTAAATCTGTACAGTCATTGTATCTAGTAAAACATTTCTTCATGTTTGTGATAGAGAGTGTGAGTACAGTTATGACGGAGTGATGATATTTCTTTTAGGTGCTGTCAAACCCAGAAGGCCGATTAGAGAGCATCCGTATCAAAGATAAGGTGGGACTACTGCACTACAATTTTACATATTGATTTGATTGTGTAACTCATGATCTTATCAAAGAATCATAAATTAC